ATTACTTTCAACATTAGAATTACCATAATCCTTTATATTTCTATTTGTAGGCGAGAATCAATTTATTTGCAAATTTCCTCCATTTCCAAGCATGAGTGGTGGTGTTATGCTCTTTAATAGTCAGTCTGAGTGCATCATTTAATATTTGAGAACAGCGCTTCGAACAACACAGCTTTCAGAGCTGATTTATTTCAATAAACCAAGTTATATGATGATCAAAGAGGACATAAAATCTATACATCATCGTTTCATTAAATCTAATATGTCTATTTCAGTTTAATGACCTTAGCTAATGGAAGGAAACAAGAAAGATGATAATCTGATGTAAGGTTGGAGAAGATTAAAGAAAAGGCAAAATATTACTTTTACATAACTTGAAGGAGGTTTTTTTTTAGTCTTTCTAATTTTTCAGTATATTGTTTTACAACATTACAAGACACCTACACACAGACACACACACACACATACTGAGACCACTGCTCTTTCTGATGATTGCGAATGATGGTATCGTGGATCCAGTAAAGTTAAATTTAAATTTAAATTGGATGTTAAAGAAGCATTACTCTGCCTGATTGTCTGGCCAGCCCAGGAAAGTTGGCAAGCAGCAAAGGCAAAATTTGCTCCTCCCTCTCATTGAGATATGAGAAATTGAAGTGAGATTGAATTAAAGAGAGAACAATTAAAGATGTGATGGTTGTTTTGCTTATGTTGAACTTTTTAAATACTCATTGCAAAGCAATGTAGCAATATGAAATTAACCAGGACTGAGAATGACTGGTGAGACATTTGTTTAAAAAAGGCAAGAAAACTTTCATTTGTATACATCCTTCAATTTGATATAAGATAGAGAATCAATTTTATTTTTTGTTAGATTATGTTTGAACAAAAAAATATTCAATTCAGATGTTTGATTCCCCTTCGTCGAGCAAAAATAAGAAGCTAGGTTTCGGTGCTTTTAGGTATTTTTATAGAGAGATTAGAAAGTTAGCATGGATTACTGGCAAACAAACTAAGATCTGGTTAGATTTGGTTTGACCCACTCACTGTATTTTGAAAATCAGTAAAGATGTGCTAAAACTGTCAAAAATATTTTTTTTATTACATAAACTTAAGTCCAGATAAAAGATTTAGATTTCAGTGACATCAAATATTAATTACATCCATTAATTGAGTGACTTAAGAGCCATGCATATAGATATTCCATTTATCACAATTTGCTGGATAAATGTTTTGTTAAGGTCAGTGTAATATTATGACATATCTTAAAGTCATGAAGAAATATGTAACTGAAAGTCCCTGGATTTAGAATACATATTTGAATAAATAGCTCCGCTCTATATTAGGACATAGATATTCCATGTATGATTACTTTAAAATAATTATTAGAATGCCGTTTGCTGTATTTCTTCCCCCACAATTACTAGATTTGATTAATTCAATGATGGGGCTCCATGTTTTATGTGATTAAATGTGGAAAATAGTCTGTCTGCAGCGGATGCTTTTATGTGAAAGGTACCCCAAAAACCAATGCACCGTTATGCCCCTGCAAACTAATTTGCTTTTTGGGTTAGGCAGTTAACATAGCACAATAAAGTAGCCTGAATAATAACATTACCTACTGCTGACTGTACAACCCTAATTCTACTGTAGAATCTATAACCCAGCTATGGTCATTAGCAAAAACATGATGGAAGTTAGCCATTGCCACTGGCTGTATACAGCCAGGCAGACAACCGCCTACAGCTACTGACCTCAGCCAGTAGAAGAGAAGCTGCAGTGGTGACGCAATTTCAAAAGCCTGCTGTCTTTGCGTTTTATTTGCAATAAGTTGCACATAGAGGGAAAACAGGAGGAAAATTGAAGGTGGAAAAAATGAGTATATATATATATATATATATATATATATATATATATATATATATATATATATATATATATATATATGTAAGATTGGAATAAATACTTTTATAAATACTTTTTTATACATTTGTAATTTTACCAGTTTAACAGATTTAATAGCTCTTTGATTTTAACATTAAGCTATTATTTTGCGAATGAATTATATTTATGAGTCATTTATTTATGTATTTATAAGTATGGCAGGCTTGGTCCTCCACACGATAAAACCATATCTCTAACAACCATGGTATTACGTAACCTATTTTGAATATACATACACACTCATCGATTGGATGAGCTACCAGTCACTGTAGAGTCCCCCCCCAGTTGAAGCAGCTTTTTTTTACCTGTTCATGTTCAGTTTTGTCCAGTGTCTTACTCTAAGCCACATTTTATTGAGGACAATCAGCTCTTGTAGTTCTCTAAAGACCGGAAGTTTGGCTGGCTTTGATAATAAATTCAGTGAGTTTTTTTTTTTTTCAAGTTTAGAGTAGATTAATTCTAAAAACACTTTACAACACATACAGAGAAAAAAAATCTATAGTACAAACAAAGAGAATAAGAAACTTCAAAACAAAATGAAAATACTTTTGAAACCATTCATATATTTTTTGTTTTACCCATCTGTTCTTGTTGGAAGCTTTTAGCCTTTAATTTTGGGTTTGTTCAGCAATAATCTCTATATGTGGTGGCAGAGTTCAGTCTTTTCTTTACCAAGAAGTAGCATAGAAAAAAAATTCAACTGGACTCAGCCCATTTGGCCTCAGTGATGCCATCATTCAGTCCCTCCTTGTCAGGGTTTATCTCCATGGAAACTTTCCTTGACCAAGGTTGGTGTTTGTATAGAATCACATCCCTGGTGGCTTTTTTAATTCTTGTTTTCAAGTGCTTTGGCATTTGGGAATTTATTTTTGACCAATTTACATGTCAAGAGCCCTCTTAGATATGTGCTACCCACCAAAGAGTGGAATGGCTTAATTTAGGAAACCACCCCCTTGCTGGGCCTCTCTTTCAAAGAGCATTACTCTAGGCCTGTCATTCTGCTTGTTTCAACACACTGTATAACTGAACGCACATACAATGTCTGATTTCTTTCTTTAGGACTTAGTTCAAGCTCACATTTACTTTAAAGGTTACATATGCTACATTTGAAAAAAAAACAAACAAAAAAAAAATTTATGCTATATGTATATATGTATATATATATATATATATATATATATATATATATATATATATATATATTTATATATATATATACACATCCATATATATATCTATAGATATATATATTTACATAGCATGTGTTTTGCCTTTCCACAACCCTGTCCTCCTGAAGGCCAATCTCCCACAACTCGCAACCATGACAACCAGTCACGGATCATAAGGTTGGCCTAGGAGCACGGAATTATACATTACATGCAGGCCAGAGCTTGATTGGCTACTACATTTCCCCTTATGACATCATAAAGGGCTTGCTTTTCAACAGACTAGTTTGAGCGCACATTATCTAAGAGTTGGATACAAGGCAATAAAAATGAAAGTTTTTTTTTTTTTATTTGTGAACCTCATACACAGGCTTCAGGACACATATGACCTTTACAAAATGTTTATAATGTGAACTTTGCATAATATGGGACCTTTAAGTTTACTTTGGTGTTTTTATCGTCTAGATTCTAAAACTTTAATCTTCTTTTTTTTCATCATGCATTTCTTCAAGGTGCACTAGGTAACTTTTATGAACAAAAAAATGTATCTGTCACATAAGCTTCATTTATCATTAAGTAACATATGAGAGATAATTATGAAAAAAAAAAAAAACTCAACCTCCTCTGCCTCCTCCCACTGTTCTTACTACCTTTAGCAGTTATACAGTACTTCTGGTCAAATAACAACTAATCAGAGGCATATAAATAATCTTAGCAGAAACAGTTAGACTTTTGTCCTGCTTACATCCCCTCTCCCCACAGCACCTACTACTGTCTAAGCTTAAGATTAATGGTATGCTGCAGCTGTGGGTCAATGTTATGGGTTAGTTTTATATAAGTTATAAGCTTGCTGAAGCACACTGAAGCACCCTGACACACATCGACATATGGCAAGTACGTTGCCAGCATATGCTCATACATGGGTTACTTGTGCTTAACTAATGCAAAACTTATTAGGAACGTATCTCTAATTCATAGCAATGTATTTAACGTTTTCCTAACGACAGCTGAACGTGTTTTTAACTTACAGCTACAGTATAATGGCATATTGGCAGTGTTTTGGTATAAAAAAAGGGGTTCAAAGGAGGAAACCATCAGTACTCTTCCAGACTTCGTGGTGAGCAGACGTTCAACAAGAGATGGAGGATCTGGTAAGGCAGAGATGGGAATACATACAAGTTGTCCTCCATCATCTGCATGATCTCATCACCTTGACTCTGATCCAGTTGTAGGGTTAGAGTGAAGATATGTGATGGATCCTCCCTGCATTCAAGAAATTTTTTTATGCAGGCTGGGAACCTCCGAATGCTACCCCCCTTGTGACATTTCATGGACATTTCACTGTTGTGCGTTATGCATAAGTTAGGTTTTTGTTGGACACAAGTTCTGAACTCGTAATGTATTGACCAAAAATTTAAAGAAAAGTTCAGCATATGCCAGTGTTTCAGAAGATTCTGGAAAGTCAGGCATACGCTTGCTTAATCGTCAAGGTGTGACAGGGGCTTAAAGCATATCATTGCTGTTTTCATCACGACAGTGAATGAGCAATAGCTGGATATCTGTGATGAGAGGGCTGTAGCACAGCAGAGAGGAAGCGGGAGGGACCTGTAATGGGTGCTTGTCTGAATCTTCGGGGCCAAGTCCTAGTTTTCAGGGACTTTTTTTCTACATTTATTTATTTATTTTTGGCCTAATGTATTGGTATAAAATGTTTAGACCTTACTAGATTTATATAATTCACTTTTCAAGGCTACAAAGAAAATAAATATATAGTGTAAATAAAAGCCCACCTAGTTAAGTCTGATGGAAAAGAAATTTAAGGATTATGATCTTGGCGCTGGCTTAATAATGTTGCATCACGCACAATTCTTTTGCTTGTTTTTTTCTGTATAGAGCAAGCATTGTACAGAAAAGAATCATCTATTTCCAGGATGAAGGTTCTTTGACAAAGCAAATTTGTGAAAAAGGTAAGCTCCAGTTACTGACAAAATAGTATATTTTATAGCTTATTTGGTTTTCTGAGTCTTTCTTATATTGTTATATTTTAATTTCTTTCTATTTTTTTTAAATTTTTTTATCATTATTGTTAATTTCAATTTTTCTTTCTATCTTAATATCACTGCTGGGACTTGGAATAAATGTTTTTCCATCCAATTTATTGATAACTTGCTTTTAAAAGGAATTAGTTTTCAGTGTTAAGTTACCACTGTCCACTAGATGATGCTCTTAATGGTAGAGCAGAAACATAGTAAATCCATTCAGAGTCTGTTCTGGATTATTTACCCTTTTTAACCAACCAAAAGGACTAACAATGTACTTTATGTGGTTCTTTTTAATATAAAAACTTGATAAACTCCTAACTTATCACCTAAAAAGCGCCTATCTAGCTGTGCTGCATGGCAGAGCAGCATAGCTTTTCTGCTGTGATGGAAGCATGGAGCGTTACAAAATGTTTGTACCATGGTAGAAAAATATTTACTGGCAATAAGCATGGGAGAAAGGAGGATTGTTTGAGTTAATGTACTTCTTAAAGCCAAGTTTTAACATTCCTCTGAGAGCAACCAGAACCCCCATTTAAAACTAAATGCTAGGAGAGTTTTTGGTGTAAATGCTTATACCAAAAACACAGCTATATAACAGCTTCCATCCACTTCATTGAAACAAGAAGGAAAATAGTCTCTCTGTACAATGAAAATCATGTGTTTTACCTATTTCACATATCTTTTTTTTTACTTAACCTAAAGGGGTTCCTATTTTCTTATATCTTATAAAAACTTTAATATTTTGTGAGGAAGTCAGTATTCACTCACCATTTAACAGAGCATAGATAAAATCTAAAATGTACCATTTTTGAATTCAGCATACTTTAAAAAGACATGAGGCCCTTCAAGTTACAATATGAAAAGATCCCTATACATATATACATGAAAAAACATTTTTTTTAAGAAAATAGACGCTTATCAATAAATCCTAAGTCGATTGATCATTCATTTAACTTTAGATTAATTCAATACTCAATACCATTCATTCCTTATTGCCCTGCAGCATATGCAAAAAATGCAAAAAACAAAACAACAAAAAAAAAAACTGTACAGAAATCAAATTTCCATGACCATTTCCCAGCTCCCTCCATCTTCTTACTTTCTTGATCACTCTTCTCCTGAATGGTCACCTAATTTTAAAATAGCATGCAATATCTATACCTCATTGTCCTCCATTTTCTCCTTTATACACAGAATCATTTTATGGAGATGGCACAGATAAGCCTTTACTTGATTGTTGTGCCTGTGGAACAGCAAAGTACAGAGTGACCTTCTATGGGAACTGGTCCGAGAAGATTCATCCTAAAGACTTTCCTCGTAAGCACAATTACACTTCTAGTAATTTTTACTTCTGGGCATCTATTTCCTTTGATTGCATTTTTTTTCTTTTGCAGTGTTCTTGTTTTGCACCTGTTTTTTATGATTGTGTGTTTTGGTGTTTGCATCATCCATGCATCTACAGCATGTTTGTTAGTTTTTAAGTTGTTTGCAGAAAAACATGCAGAACCATTTTTGCATAAAAAACAGGTAGAACAAATCAAACAATCTAGAGTTTGAGAAAACATTTTTGTCTATTTCAATTTCTGTTTTGTTAAAAGTGGTAATGATTATATCTTTTTCAATAATCAGTTGAAGAATCCTTATGACATTACAGCAATTAAACCCAGTTAAATGCTAATGAACATTCACCATTGACATCAAGGTTGGTGAATGTCGTGGACCCAAATACAGATTAGAAGAGGCAGAGATGATTTCTTGCTAAATTTAATGAAGTAAAAATACAGAATCCATTCTACAGAACCGATCAACAAGAAACTCAAGAACCCTAAAACTAGGAGACATTAGGGATTAAAAAACATAAAAAACGTAAAGAATGACGAGGATCCAGCAATGAGTAACTCAACAGGGGTGTATATACTGTAAGGAACACTAGATGGACTAATTAGCTGATTAGCAGACAGAAGTAACTAGAAGGAGCTAAGGGGAAAGAAAAGGACACTAGGGGGTAGCAAATCTAAGAATTCAAAACATTATCTAAATCTGGAGAACAGCACATAACAAAACAAAACATTCTTGAGAAACCAAAAATTAAAACTTGTCAGAAACAAATGGTCCAGAAAGTAAGATAATAACAATTGGATCATGTTGATGTCTTGAAAAGCCTTCATGCCATCATCTTAAATCAATACATAGATTCTCTATTTGATTTAAATGAGGGCTCTGGTTAGGCCAATCTGAAAAAATATTATTCTAATTAGAAGAAACACACTGATTAAATTTTCTATCCTATGCATATTCTATCTATCCTGTGCAAACCAAAACCACATAAGAAATTATTTTAATGGACATGTGGCTTAGACCATCCACATGGTTCTCAGTAGTTACAGTGAGGAAAATACATTTTTGAACACACTGCTATTTGGCAAGTTCTCCCACTTAGAAATCATGGAGGGGTCTGAGATTGTCAAAAACGGTGCATGTCCAATGTGAGACACATAATCTAAAAAAGAAAATCCTGAAATCACAATTATAAATATTTTTTTTCAACTATTTATATCTTACATTTTAGAATAAGTATTTGAACACCTGTCTATCAGCTAGAATTCTGACTCTCAAAGACCTGTTAGTCTGCCTTATAAATGTCCACCTCCACTCCATTTATTATCCTAAATTACATGCACCTGTTTGAGGTCGTCAGCTGCATAAAGTCACCTGTCCACCCCATAAAATCAGTAAGATTCCAACTACTAACAAGGCCAAGACCATTGCGCTTTCCAAAGACACTAGAGACAAAATGTTATACCTCCACAATGCTGGAAAGGGCTACAGAGAAATTGCCCAAACAGCTTGGTGAAAAAAGGTCCACTATTGGAACAATCATTAGAAAATGGAAGAGGCTAAAAATAGAAGATCATTGGGGGCCTCAGTGATCCTAAGAAAGGTGAGAAATCAGCCCGGAATTAAACGGGAGGAGATGGTCAATGACCTGAAAAGAGCTGGGACCACCGTTTCCAAGGTTACTGTTGGTAATACACTAAGATGTCATGGTCTGAAATCATGCATGGCATGGAAGGCTCCCCTGCTTAAACCAGCACATGTCAAGGCCCGTCTTGTTGTCCAATGACCATTTGGATTATACAGAGGAGTCATGGAATAAAGTCATGTGGTTAGATGAGACCAAAATTGAAAGTTTTACTCATAATTCCAATTAATGTGTTTGGATGAAGATGAATGATGAGTAAAATCACAAGAACACCATTCCTACTGTGAAGCATGGAGATGGTAGCATCATGCTTTGGGGATGTTTTTCTGCACAGGGTGACCACACTGTATTAAGGAGAGGATGACTGGGGCCATGTATTGTGAGATTTTGGTCAACAACCTCCTTCACTCACTTAGAGCATTGGTCAAGGCTGGGTCTCCCAACATGACAATGACCAGAAGCACAGAGCCAGGATAATTAAGGGGTGGCTCTGGAAAAAGCATATCAAGGTTCTGGCATGGCCTAGCCAGTCTTCAGGCCTAAACCCAATAGAGAATCTTTGGAGGGAGCTCAAAATCTGTGTTTCTCAGCAGCAGCCCCAAAACCTGACTGATCTAGAGAAGATCTGTGTGGAGGAGTGGGCCAAAATCCCTCCTGCAGTGTGTGCAAACCTGGTGAAAAAGTACAGGAAATGTTGGACCTCTGTAAATGCAAACAAAGGCTACTGTAAAAAATATTAACATTGATTTTCTCTGGTGTTAAAATACTTATTTGCAGCTGTATCATACAAATAAATAGAGGTGGTAAGCTATAGTTGGAAAGCTGTGTGTGATGTGCATATAACCTTGAGCCAAACTATCAGGATGTGAAAAGACTTACGGATTACACTGCTGCTCTTGTCTAAATCTGCCTCTCTCCAGTCAGATCAATATACCGATTAGAGTGAAATAAGATAAACCCTGGAATTGAAGAAACCCCTAATTTACTATTTTAGGCAGGCAGTAACTGGTGTGTGTGTGTGTGTGTGTGTATAATTTACTCTCACACATGTGTTCCCATCCAAGCACACATTTCATAGATAGAATAACCTTAAAGGAGAGGGCAAGCTGAGTAGCTTCTTTTTCATCACGGCTCTTGAGGCTCTACAGATTGATTTTCTCTTGAACTAAGTCATTTCCTTGGTTAATAGTTATTATAACATTGCACATATTACATTGTTCAGTGTTATTCAGTGGTGCCATATGAGTACCCATTATGGCACTGCCCCTTTTTTCCTTGACATTTCAATTTTTTTACTGGCACAAAGTTTTCTCTATTTTATCAGCGTTGTCATATTTTCTTATAGTCACCAAAGGAAGAGAGTATTAAAGATAAACGACTTTGACATAGTCTTAGATTGAATTTCTTGGTATAAGAAGAACTGATCAGAAGTAATTAAATTCAGCTTCACTAAGCAAAACCCTGCCTAGTTTTCCCTAATTGTTATCACTTACCAGGGTGATTTTGAACCATTAGTCAGTGGTTCTAAAGGATAGGTGTAATGCAACTTGTAAGGGTATGTTAAAATTTGACCCGGTAATGTAACAAGTCATTTACATGTTATCCATATGTAAAGGCGCATTCAGGAGCAAATCAATAAGTAGCGATGCAAAGGACTTGCTCCAAACGATGCCTGTGGCACAAATTGGATAAATAGGCGAAAGCAAAATGGCGAATAGCATGGTGGATATGTAGATAGAACAAAATAAAAAAAACTGTGTGCTGGAGCAGTGGATGCTGGAAAGAGGGGAATGACATTTGCTTGTGTTAAAAAATCTGAACTTTTAATCTGACTCCCTGCCCGGTACAGCAGCTTCTGTTTATATGCCCTTAGTAAACAAATTTGTGCTGGAAGTAATCATCCAGCCACCCCCCTTAAGCAAAGTTGTGTTAACTCTAAGTTATGCTTGACACATGTACAATGCGAGAGGAAGAAGAGCTACCCATCAAAGGGTCTGGAGCTCTATGCAGCTTTTTCCCCATTCTGGTCGGCTCCAGGGGCACATGTACAGCAGAAACTACAAGCTGAAAACAAGAAACTACATAAGGAAATAGAAAACAGAAGTTGACAACTTTTTCAAAGCCTCTTTGTGCCGTCCAAAAGTGACAGTTATTTCTGTAATCAGATGTGTTAAAGCAAAGAAGTATCTAAAAGGTGCAGGAGACTAGTCTTTAAGGAGTGGAGTTTGAGACCACTTTTCTTAACATTAGTCCCAGGCATGCTCTCAAATAGTGCTGGCAGTAAGGAATGAGGTTGTAACGATGAGCCTGCATGCTTCCTATCATAGTGCTTTAGCAAAGGGACCTTGCTTATCTGTCTAGCTTGACGAGACATAGGCAAAGACCACATAATGAAAATTAAGAAAAATATATCACTGCTTCAGGTGCGATACATACAAATGTATGCACCTACATATGCTTCTGTGTATTTAATGGACAGCTTCAGTTGTTTACTACATTCACATTGTTTGCATTTTTGTAGTTTTTTTTCTTCGAATTTTGTGTCAATTTTGATAGCATCTTCCATATGCATTTCTGTCATGAGCTACAGTTTGCTGGATTAAGCACATGTTTATATTGTGGAGCTGGACATGTTTGGAACTATTTTCTGTACATGCCTTTGACTTTATGAGGCTAGATTAGCCACCTCTGATAAAAATTTGCCACCCATTGGCCACATCTCTGAATCGTTTGCTATAAAATCCTATTATGTTAGATCTCTAGTCACATCTCAACCCTCAAGGTAAAACATCTAACCTAGTTTTAACTTAATTTAGAGTGGTTCCTTGGTTGGGTTCTACCTGATTCTTTTTTTATGCTTTTGAATTTTGTTTGATAATTTAACTTCTGTCTTATGAATTTAGTGTTGGATCTGTATTTTACCTTTTGCTTGTTTTTTTTTTTTTTTCTGACATGAATTGGAACAAATCTTAAGCCAATAATCATGCTTTGATCTTCTCTCTTGCCTACTCTCCTGTATATATTACGTCTAGCTGATTTATTACTCATATACTCAAGTCAGTGTTTGATGTTGTTGCAGTCAAAGAGCATATATGTTACATATGCGGGAGGACCACAATAGGAGAATATGATGAAAAAATGTAAAAACATTGAGCAATAAGGTCAAGACTGCATTTCAATAGCAAAAACTGCTAGAATAATGAAAATATGAACTGTAAACATTAAAAAGACATCAATAAATCCTAACATGGTAGACAATATTCCACACCTTATGAATTTCCATAGTAGGAAATGTAACTGATATTTAGCTTTCACCGCTGCTGTATTAATTTACTGACAACTATTTCTTGGTATTGATACGAGTGAGGCTACACAATCTCTGGACTTGCATATAAATAACATATTTCAGAAAACAATATTTTTGGGTCTGTTGGATCTGCAGACCTTTGGCTTGAGCAAATGACAGCAAGTATTCATAAGCAAGCATGGCAGTAATGTCACATCCTGTAGGATGTCTGTTTTAAAAATAAATTATTCTTGGATTGAAATGAATTCCTTCTAGGAAATTGAAGTTATTATTTCCTTAAAGAAGGAGATTTTTGGTTTGTCATTTAATAGGAAAAAGGTATTTGTACTCTGCTTCCTGAGTATTAAAATGCAAGAGGGGAAGGGGAGATAATATTAGAAAAAGTTAAGGTATTCCATCTAATAATATATATGTTTTTATTTTTCTACTCTACAGGTCGCACCAATCACTGGTCAGCTATCATCGGTGCCTCCCATTCAAAAAATTATGTGCTTTGGGAATTCGGTGGCTTAGCCAGCGATGGCGTTAAGCAGGTAGCTGAGCTGGGCTCTCCGGTCAAAATGGAGGAGGAGATCAGGCAGAGGGTAAGATTTTCTTGTCCAACTGTGACATATAAGTGGTAAATAAAGAAGTGAATAACAAACATTTTCAGAAAGATTATAGTTATGTTATTCTGTGTAGCTCAATATTTGAGGACATTTTATGGGATTTCTCCTGAATATCTGACTGTTTTAATATTGTCCTGATTGCCTTAAAAGGTTTATTATGTAAGAATTACTGCCATTTGGTGGTGAAATTGGAGTATTTCACTAAACACTAAACCTAGCATGTCATCTCAAACATGTATTTTGGAAATGGTAGCCGCCGTGTGTCAAAAAGCTTCAACAACACGGATATAACTACTTCATCTGAAATATAGTGAAGGCTCTACAAGCTGGCATTTACTGTGACAAAAAGCCAGCATTCACTGGGACTTTGACAGCTACTAAATCCATATAAACGTAAAGAGATCTACCATCAAGATTGGTATATGTTTGCGGGTTCTACCTAAGCTAAGCTTCTATGGTAACAAGCATCACTGAATAATTAAACTGAAAAATCTAGCTTTATGCTAATTAAGGGAGTACAGTTCAGTCACTTGTAAAGGTAAAAAACATGGGAACTTAAAAGTCCCTTTTAAAATCTTTCTCCTTCATTAGCTGCTTCCAACTGGAGAAGGTTTGCCTGATGTTTATCCTCTTTTTTTATCTCCAGTTTCGATGTCTTTTAAGTTCTCGTTTGCAAATTTTTAGGAATAGTAAGACAATTTCTTATGCAGTCGCTGCATATACTATATACATATCCTGCGTTGCGCTGCAGTAATGCAGACTTTCAGTTTTTGGGTTTGTGTTCACAAACTATCTTCACTGCTGCCTATCAATCACTATGGACTGACAGCAAGAGAAAACACACTGTTATTTCGCAGTTAAGTACTATTTTGTCCCTTGCCAGCAACCTTTTTATCAAGATTGCAAACTGTCATGGCGCTCTCGCAAACTAGATGACCAGCCTTATGTATAAACTAATATAAAACTGTTCACTTATGAGAATGTTTCTGATTATTGGTGGAGGTAATAATAAACCAATAATAACATATATGTAAATTCAGTCATCTATTCCAGGAATTAACAAAGAAAAATTGTTACATAATATCCCTTTAATGAAAATGTTAAAAGGTGTCTTCCAAAACTTTAATTAACCTTACAGGATGTTCCATTATCTTATGAGTTAATGCATGAGTGATTTGTGTCCCAACTAATGAGCTCTTTCAAGCATCTGTTATCTTAGCTTCTACTCTTCTTTTTAGATTTGACAAATGCAAATTATGCCTTTTTTTAAATTGAGAGTGATATAAATAAAAATAAATCTTATAAAAATATTAGATAAACATAGCTGTAGTTTTTCTAAATATTATGTTAATATTTATATAATAAAACTGAGTTGGTCTTAAATTAAAAGATTGTATAAAGGTGAAAGCACATATCAAGTCACTAAGGTTAGCCTTTCTACCCTATATTTTACAGTCTTATATAAGTTTTTAAATTCAAACTCATAGTCTATGCCTTCTTTTTACCCTTTATTTTTCACAGGCTATATTGTAGCATATTTCTCTTATTTCCTTCTTACTTTGACCTTATTACTTTAGACTTAAAATAACCCATGCTGGTTGAGCAGATGGTCTTGCAGAGTTCTTATTGTTTGCATATACTAAAGCCCTGCAGTCATGCCACATACTGAGAGTATAGTGAATACTGTAGTATGAATTTTTCTTTAATTTATATCTTCTTATTTTGTATATGTTATTATTTTGTTTGGCTTTACCTCACATCTTAAATGATTATACATTTTTCCTCCAACCGTAGAAAAAGCGAAAGCGAAGTTGTATTGGAAATTATTTGTTGACAGACCAAAGTGGAATAAAAAAAAAGACATTGCTTTAGATGTTAATAAAAGCTGTACTGGAAGTTGTTCAAAAGAAAGTGTTGTCAATATGTTGTAAATACAATAGAAAAATCCTTTATTGTCCCACTATGGGGAAACTGTGGTGAATGAATCAGTTAAAAGAAAAATGTATATATGTTGCACTGAGCCCACGTTTCCTTATGCACGCTCTGCATTGCCCACCATGGTTTTATACACTTGTGGGTTAATTTTAACAACTTTTTCAAAGAGATTTGTGGTTCTTATATCAGTCTTATTGGTTGGGTAGGACTAGAGCAAAGTGGGATTTCTAACAATAAATTGGAAAGACAGCCATGATGCTAGATGCTTATGATACAAAACCCAGTCTTACAGAAAAAAACTGTAATACCCATATTGGTCGACAAGGAAAGGTGTTACATTGTTACTATTTGACTCCTTAATATATTTCTTTGCCTTGTTTGATCTGGCCATTTCCTTTGACTTACAACCAGGTCCCCTGACTATCAAATTATATTTTTAGTTTTTATCCCAGTAAAATATTTTCATGATCTTCTTTTAGAGAATGTAAACAATGTTATAATAATTAGGTTTTCTAAAACCTGTGTCTCCTCAAAAACAAGTGACGGTTTTACATTATTTATAGGGCTGGTTATCAATAAAATTTTATACCCAGCCCTAAAAAATTTTATTGATGTGGATTCTCAAGATTTAGAATAAATCATTTTCCACCTGATCTAAGCCTATCTGAAATTGAACTGCTGGGATTAAAAAAAATAAAATTTTTGGCGGTTACCTGAAATACATAATTAGGTAGCTGTTCAACATGTATATGTTTGAGAACCAATGTTTATATTGAAGAGATTGTAATTAGGTCAGATTAGCTTTTAAATGCATTTAGAGCAATTGGAATGTGTTCCAACCATTTGAATAAAACATTTTGTGAAATAATATTTTGTTAAACGATTTGCCTAATATGAAATCATTATCTGTTAAGATAATTGGTTCTTAACCTTCTGTGATTCAGGAGATCATCAGGGTGGAGATCCCATTAGCTTATTTAACTTGGTTTCATGCATTTCACAATAGCGCTAGAAGATAGGATGGGACTCTGGTCATATTTTGCAATCAAATATAATGACGATATTAGGAAGCGCATAAAAGTTCATGTCATATTAATGTTTAAACCCTTATTGGAATTAGGTTTGTTTTAACCTAAAAAACAATAACTAAAAATATTTTTGGATTTGGTTTGCTACTTTGTGGTTGCTATTTTCTTGTGTTGGCTTGCAACAAAAAGGACATTTTCAGAAATCATTAAAAAACGAAACTGAATAGCAGGAGTAGCTTCACCTAGCTTTACCAGACCTGTGACCTCTGTTGATCTCTGTTTTGGAAAGGTGAAGTGTCTCTAATGTTCAGGAAGGCTTATTCCAGGCTGGCTTCCTGTGGATCTGTGTTCAGATGGCCTTGCCAGGAGGCTGGGTGTGTCCTATGATGGTATTCTGGTACTGTATGTCTGGGACCTCAGGTCCAAATTGAAGTTGGAGAATGAAGTGGATTCAGCGGTGCAGTCTCTAGCTTTGGCCTTCCAAAAGAGATGTTTACCCCCAATGCCACATCTTCTAATCTCACAGCATTACATCATACACATTAAGAGACTTGACAGATGAATATGTTTTTGTTATCTTAATTAAAAAAAAATGTTAATATTTAAAAAAAATGTTGGTATAATTACTGCTCTAATTGGGTTGCTCTGTCAACAAAAGGCATGTTTTAGAGTCTCCATACTCGATTACTCAATTAGTTAATGATTATTTCAATTACCGATTAATCATGGTTACTCTGAAGTTTCAGCCCTACTAATAGTGCACTCTTTTTGTACTCCCATTTAATTTCCAAATGTTTGTTACATCCATAAGGAAGATGATTACTTTATATCCTGACAGGAGATCTGTCCTAATTAGATAAAAAGCTTAGGAAAACAGCCTTCACACATAACAGGCACATAATATTAGGGTTTAACAAGCACATAAATGAATATTAAAATAATCCTAACAAAATAAAACTGTCCCTTTTTGAAGCCTATATTGCATGACTCATTTTATTTGGACATGCACAGATGTTAAACAACAAAAGAAAACAGGGGATTGTGTTTACATGCATGTGCTAATTTCAGTACTAGGGAGAAATCCAGCTGTGATAATGTGCTTTTGGGAAATCAGAGAAAGGCTGCTCTCCCATTATGCTTACCACATTTTACTGTGTACATGATCACTTCAAAAATCACATAACCCCCTGATATCAGAGTACAATTACATGAAATCAGGCTCACTGGGAGCATCAGTCTGACAGGGATTTTTTTTTTTTTGACATTGAACAATAATAAAAAAAAGGAAAAACTGCAGCATTTGTGTATTATATTAACCAAAAATATATGCCACTGTTAGAGATACAATGCAACTGCAATAACATATTGTCTTTGCTCTCCACATAATGCAGAACCTTAATTATCTACAAGAATTTAGTTGGTAGGAAGATAAAAGTAAACTTAATCATTTGCTGTTTGACTAAGATATTAATTATTTGACCACTTGGGTGACCTAATTGAGATTATGAGAGGAACAAGAATGAAATTGTGATATCAGGGCCAGATCTTGGGATGCAAAT